CCCCAAAACCCCAAAACCCCAAAACCCCAAAACCCCATGAGATGATGTCGGAAATATAAATTAATTAATAAGAATTAATCAAAATCAATGGAATACAATTCAAACATAAAAAAGTTTCTCATGCAAAAGAAAACTGAGTATAGATCTATAAACCCTACTCCTGTTCCCTTTGAAGATATAATAGAAGCAGATTAGGAATAAAAATTGGAAAAAGTCAAGGAAATATGTTCTATAATTGGGCTATAAACCCTTGACTGAAAATAGTCTTAATTGTACCCGACTAATTAACTCAAAATGCATAAGTAGAGCTCGAATAATTTGAGACTTAAGTTATCTCCTAAGATCGAACCTAAGTTCAAGCAATCCAAGAAAGTCAAAGACTACAACAGTTTAGGCAAAGTGCCAAGCTAATAACAGGGAGTAAAATAATCTATTTTATACAAAGATCACTTCTAAAGACAGCAAAGCAAGGACATAAAGGTGGTGAAGTTAAACATAGAGGACTTTAAAATTCAAAATATAAATAATAGTATCATGTCTTCTCAAAGTGATAATAATTCTAACCCTCCTCCTGTTTCAAAGCATAAGAGACTTAACAAGTCTATGTTTGAGGAAGAACTTCAAAGTGTAGTTCATATGACTACAGAAAATGATGCTAGTCCTCGTGGCTTAAATACAAGCAATATTTCTTCTTAGTAACCTAATAAGCTATTCAAATCTTTTATTGATACTTATGTGAGCGAGCGTAAAAAATAGTAATCTACTTAAGAAAACACACATAATTCATAATTTCCGATTAATAATCCTATTCTGATATAAGATAGCTTTAAGTTTACTGAATTCAAAGAGCTTACTCTTTCTAATAATCATTAAAGTTAACTCGGGTAGTTCAAATAAATAAGGTAAGGCAAAGGAGATTCTTCTGCTTCAAAGTAAAAGTTTTAAAGTTAAGCAGCGAATAAAATCTTTCTGAATAACCCTAAAAAGAGTATACTTAATATAAGAAAAAAAGAGTTTGGCTAGTAGTTTCATTAATAGATCACTTAAGATATAGAAAAATTCATAAATCATTCAAAGGATTCTAGTCCTAATACATCGTCACAAAGAAAAATTAATACACCTGTTAAACCTAAAATGAGCGCAAGATAGCACGCTTCAAAACCTAAAAATTCTAACTATAAAACCAAAATTGAGTACTTTAGAGATTAGACTAAGAAATAGCAAGAGAGTCCTAATATAGCTCAGATCAAGCATGATAAGAAATCACCTAAACTATAAATTTAATTACCTAATGAAGGGGATTAGACTGGGGCTTTTAGTACAATAGTAAGCCCTAGTACTTAGAAGATCTCAAGTACTAAATCGGTACCCTTCAAATAACTAGAAGGAAGCGGAAAACCTATCAAATAACCAATAAATAAAACTGATTATTCTCCAAGTATGCATATGCGTCAGTAGAATTAACAATATAGCAAGATTAATTTCAACTGCACGAGTCCATTAAGCAGTCTAAAAATGTTTGAAATGCAAGCTTTAGAAAGCACTAATAAGAAATTTAACTTGGCTGACCATATTAGTCTTAATAGTGCTAGAGGGCCTAGAAGACAAGAAGTTGATTAAATAAAAATAAAAAATCGTTTGAATAAATCTGTAGATGACGAGAGCCCAGATCTAATTACCAATACCGAAGAATAGACTATCAATGACTGTGGTCGACTTTGTGATTGTGAGATATAGCAATTTGATCATTTATAATGTGAAAATGCTCAAAGATGGCTGGATATTGCTTACTAAGATGAGTATGAGTATGAAATTTACAAGAAATACTACGAAGGATATATAATTAGTGCGCCTAAACTTAAAAAATTAAGATCATCAATTAAGTAAGATGTCGAGAGAACAATGTAATCTCATTCCTAATTTCAAGTTAAGAGCATATAAAAAGCAATGGTAAGAGTCTTAGTAGCTTACGCACATTTTGAGCCTTAAGTTAGTTATGTTTAAGGAATGAACTTCATAGTAGCTGCACTGATTTATCACTCTGGTGAAGTTGCTGCATTCTGGCTTCTAATTGCTCTGATGGATAGATACAAACTTAAGCAGGTATTCAAACAAAATCTGCCAGGTTTAATTGTTCATGAAAATGCCATAAATAAATTAGGCAAATACTATCTGACTGATTTATTTGAACATTTTGTAACTATATCAGCATTATTATTATTAATAGGAAAAATATGATATTTAGACTGGATATTTCGCAACAGAATGGATTATGAGTTTATTCTTGAGTAACATACCATTAAGATTCAATGTAAGACATATTTCTTTTATTTAAAACATTATAGGCTATTTACTTGAATAGCTTTTTTGAAAAGAAATGGATCACTTTTTATAGAGTCGCTGTTGCTTTGCTTAAATATTACGAAAAGAAAATTCTTATCTTAGATGACTTTCCTTCAATCCTAGGTTATATTAAATAGGCAAGAGAAGGCTGCGATTATCTTCTTCCGAACAATATGCCTCTGGACTAGAGCAGCATGTCCCTTCACAGTTTCATCACAATGACCAGAATGTCCTCAAGAAGTGATAGTATTAATCTGAAAAAGCATAAAAAGATGTGGAAAATTGTAATTGAAATGGCATTAGATGAGAATATATTCTCTAATATGGAGGATGTACTTGTAAATCAGGATGAAACCATCATTTATAAATACTGAAATATTATTGATCTAATGCGTCTCTTGATTCGCTAGAGATATAGTATAACTACTTCAACTGTATTGATAAGCTCATTAATCCCTTCAAGTAATCAGCTGTAAATTATTTATTTCTTAATTTATATAACCCTTTAAATCCTTTAAAATAATCTAGCATTCATGGGGTTTTGGGGTTTTGGGGTTTTGGGG